TTCTACTGACTCTATTTAGGAAAGCCTTCTATCCTTCCAATGTATTTCCACTCTTGCTGCCGGAAATGCACTCATTTGCTGGCCGCGTGTATACTTATCTAGAAAAAGAGGAAGTTTATAAATATCCCGGTAAGAATTACAATTTCACAAAGTGCTTCATTAAGCAGCACTTCGGCCTTAGGTGGCATACCATCTACACTTCCGGCGTTAGAAACATCTGAGCAATGGGACTTCCCAAATGTGTGGGCGCCTACAGAACATCTTTTCATCCAGAGTCTTTTTATTTCACAGCATACTGGCTTACAGCAGGTAATCAAATTCTGTGCAGCGTGCAAGTTGCATCTTTGATTGATCTTTTGAGAGAGCAATAGAGGAAGCAGATAAATTTATCAATACTGTGTTCAATGGATTATTCAATCCAGAAGAAGGCACCGTAAGTCACTACATCGTATACACTTCTTTATTTGTACTGTCCTATTGTGCATTATTTGTGAGTGTTCCGATTTAAGCCTGCTGGACTCTGGGAGAAATATGACGCCCGTAGTTCAAAGGGTAAACCCGGTGACGGAGGGGAGTACATAGTGCAGGAGGGATTTGGATGGACAAATGGAGTTGTGATGGATCTCATTAATATGATGAATGTACAGAGAGGTTCTATACGCGCGGCAGGTATGTCTTTTGACTCTTTCTCCTTATTCGACACTGCTTCCTAAAATATTGAACGTAGGAATGTCATTTCTCGAAGAACCAGGACGTTCTTGGCTAGTTATTATGGTTATTGGAGTACTACTAGTTTTGGCAGCGTGGTAAGCGACTATTACCGGCTCATGCGTTGTTTATCGCCGCACATCATTTTTCTTTAATCATTTGATAGCTTTTTCTGTTTCTTAAAGCAGCTCTTCAAGGTTTGCCGTATGTGGGCATTTCGGATATGCCGGATTCGGTCGCGATAGATTGATCCACGTTCGTGAACCATCTTCTCGACGTCTTCTAGAGGATAGTGACAGTAGCGAATAGTTTCTTATAGGTGTCTCATTTGTTGTCTATCTTACTTTTATGTGATTGTGATCTTTTTACGGGATTCTGCCCTTGTTTGAGTTTTCTCCGGGTTTTATTGATATTTGGCCCATATCTCTCCTGCTTATATTGATTGTGACCTGCTTTTCAATGTTTTGATTGAATTAATGTCTTCCTTGCATTTCTTCGCATGATTTAGGAAAACAATTTAGACTCTTTCCCATTATTTTTTTTCTAAACTTCAAAAGACTACATTGCGAACATAATTGTTGACTTCGTATCTGTCCTCTATTTTCACCGTTCACTTGGATTTTTTTTTCTGTCT